TAGTGAAGGTGAAGAATGATGACACCGTGGCGAGGTGCACTATATGCTGAAGTCCCAAGAAAAATAGAAAGAACAACAGATGTTCTAGGCTGGCACAAATAATCTTCTGTTTTGTGTTTAAGAAATTACCGTTTGTTAATAAAAAGTTGTTGCAAAATTGGTCGGCTTGGTTTGGGGGGTAGGGATAACATATTGTCCCTTCTGTTGAGCGGTCTTTCACTAAAAAATTATTTAAAATTTAACATTTCAGAACGAGTTGCAGTTGTTGTTCAACTTGTAGACACAAAAAATATTCAGAAACAAAACATTTTTCATTTATTTAATCATGTCTTTAATGTTTTCACTTAATTTTTTGTGTGTTACTGTTATAATTGTTGTAATTGTTTTGGACATCCGAAATATGTCTGTGCAATATAAAATATGTAATGTACACACTCAGACAAAGACTGATTTATTCTAAAAAAAGAACAAAAAAACACCCAATACAGCAACAAACACCCCCAGTCTAAAGATTGACATGATAAGACAGGCCTTCTCAACCAACATCTGCCAAGGCCAGCTCGGGTTCAAGGAGACAGAAGCAGATAAAGATATAGACGGCGCTCGGGCCCCGGCAGAAGACTTTGGTGTTCTGAATCAACGTATGCTTGGATGAGTAAACTAGAAAAGGATTAGCCTGGTCTTCCCCTCCGGGGCCCGGATTCTGATGGTGGAATAAGCAAGAGGGTAACTGGGACTGAGAATAGTCTGAGAGTGAGGGAGGAGATGGGGTGGAGTAGTGTAGGTGGGTGAAACTTTGTTTGCGTGCAGGAGAGAGAAGATGTGCCAGGAGGTAAATGAAGGGAATCTTGAAAGTTGATTGGCTTCGGAGATGGTGTTGCCCACGAGTTGATTGGCTTGAGCTGAAAGAGGGACATTGCAGTTGGTTTAGGTGAAGAGTCTTCCAGATAGAAGTTTTGCATTATAGCTTCATTACTTGGAATATTTTCGAAATATATGGAAATGCTGGTGCTTTTAAGTTATTTTGTTATTTTCAATGCTGAAGAACAGATTATTATTTACCGGAATTAAGAGAATTTTAAAGCTGTAAAAGTATTTTTTGTTCAACTATGGTTAATATATATGTTTTCAATTATTGTTTACCCAAAACCTTAGTATGAAAATAATTTCTCCTTTTAATAGAGAAAGAAGAAAGGGATGCACTCCTCAGCACTCTTTCAGACTTTTTTCTCTGTAATGAAAATGAGCAAAATAAATGTTTTGCTTTTACTTCCAGAATTATACTTCTTCTGGTTTAAAAAACAATCAGCATTGGAGTGAATTAAAAAAGAGCTCTAAGACCTAAGTTCACCCCGGCTTCCTTTTATTCTAAAGCTTTGTTCAGAGTTTCCCATGATGTTTTTTTATAGACCTGTCAAGTCGACTGCACATAATAGTTTCTGTCAGCTAATACTTCAAAGGCAACTTTGATGAAGTACACTTTAACAAGGTACCACTGCATTCACAATGGGGACTTGGCAAAAGGATTTCTTCAAGCACCAAAGTATATGTGTTGGCTCATTTTGTTATGTAGGCCTGCTCAATTCAGTACAAAGTTCAGGTGCCTCATTTGGCTTAATGAAGCTCACAGGTTTGCTGTAAAATCTTGTCCAATTTGCGTTTCTGTCAAGGTGCAGTGGAAATTGTTTTTTTTCACACCCAGCAAACAGGAGTTGCAATTTAAGTGTGCCTCACATTTTAAGCACAAGGCAATGCAAATGGATCATTATATCCAAGACAGAAAAACAATAAATAAAAAAAAATGTAAAACATTACTAAACATTCAGCTAATACTGCATATTCTGAAGCTGTAATATCACAAGTATACAATATATTGAAGCAGTAGCCTCTGTATCAAATAAAATGTTTACTTTTTTAACAGGTTTTGTTTTTCTGTTTAATATATCTCCAAGTAATCATTATGATTGCAGAATTAAAAAATATTGGTACAAAATGTATCATAAAGCAGTATTAGAGGATATTAGATGATCATAATCTTTTTTTCTCATCTTGCCATACATGTTGAAGTATTTAGGGGCTTTTAACAAGAATAACATTATGTTATGATTTGTCTTAACATATCATGGGCCCCAATGCATTATTGTAAAAGTCAAAGACTGTGCATGCATTGTTGGCCACATGTCTATTTAGTTAATGATAATGTATAACCAATTTTCTGATAGTTACTTTTAACATTATAATACACCATGTCACAAGGCTCATATCTAAAGACAAACGGCTGACTGAATCCTGGGATATCCAAGGATAGCCAGGATACCTCGGACCCATCCTTTAAATTGGGCAAAAAGAAGGACGCATTTTAAGGCTGCATAAGGAGGAGTCTTGGAATCCAACCAGACCTCGGCGCCGCGCTATGATGTAATCGTCCTTCGAATCTGGCCTTCAGAGGACGCATCCCATGAATTCGAACAGAGCCCATGTCTCCACTGCAATAAAATCCAGTGGTGTCATGCATCTGACATATAACATTGCATGTGGCGATAATGATTCGCATTATGTTATGAATTTATATTTTTTTCCTTTTTCAACTTTATAATGCATTTCTGTCTTAATACCTTTGATAATGGGCTGTTGAAGTTTTAAATAGTTTTGAATAAAAAAAAAAAGAAGGAAAACAGCAACAATGGTGCTCAACATGAACATATGTCTCTTTTGAAGCACACATGCTCTGATAAAGGACTGTCTGCCCAGGGAGCCAAATTTCTTATTACAGTAACGTTTTGCATTGAAGATATCTGTCCAAATGAGGTTTTAATTGACCAAGAATTTAAAAGTAAGGATTTGACTCATTTCCAACCCTTTATTGCTTTATAGTGCCCCCCAGGTCTGAGTCCAATGAAAGATGGGACCGGATGCTATGACCACCACATTGGGATTGACTGCTCTGACGGCTTCAATGGTGGATGTGAGCAGCTGTGCCTCCAACAGCTGGCCCCTCTAGAGGATGACCCAACACTTTACAACATCCAGATGTTCTGTGGGTAAGCAACAACACAAGTCAGCAGTTTACTATCTGTAATTACTCTTAATTATTAGGTTTTATAAACACGTCGTCTTAATTCATGTCACTGTAAATGACACATTGTGTCACACATGAAAAGAAAAAACTTAATGTATCATGCCATAAACGAGTAAAGAAAAATCCCCATCCTGTGAGCAAATGCCAAAACCTCCCGTTCTCAAAAAAGAATATTATTTAACACCTAGTTCTGATCAGACATGCATAAAAACGTATTTGAACAAAGTGAAGGCGTTTAATTTATGCAAGATTCTGATTCCTGTGATGGTGGAAGACATTCTTTGTCAGGATCCAGAGGCTTGCCCACCAGAGGTCAAATTTAGTTTCTGTTTCAAAAATGTACTTTAGAAAATATCTTATTACACTTCTAAATAGGAATGTCATTTTGACCAGGAAAATCCTATTTTAGCGATCTACAAATGGAACAAGAGAGGCGAGTGCTTTTAATAAATGTAAAATGGCCCGCCATAAAACACTTCATATAAAGTTAAGCATTAGGCGTAGGGCTGTATGGCTGTTTTTCTATCTTCTAAACACTTTCTCGATTTTGTTTCTTCCTTTCTGCATAAATTAAAACTCAGCAATGATGGAAAAAACATCATTTCAATTAACCAGGTAGACTGGCAGAGAGAGAGGGTTGTTTAAAAAACTTATATTAAACAAAAAAAAGGTAATATACTGTAGAAAAGAATCAAATGCTCCCTAAGTATTGGTTGTGGCAATGTTTACTGTATTATCACTACAGTATTTACATTTACACAAAGCTGTTTGGTGTTCATTGTTCTGTGATGCATCTACACCACTGTCCCTCAATTCATACGTGCTTATGTTAAAACATGTTATATCATTCATAGCCGACTATTCTTCGAAAAGGGCAGGGAGATTAGGAGATGTGAGTTGAAAACGTATATAATGTGCTTTTATAAAGCAGAAAATGTGACAACAAATAGCAGTTTTAATTAAGAGTTCAAAGGATATGTGCCCGCTTTTTTAGATATATTATCACCCTGACTACAAACCCAGATGCTATCTCTTCTATTTTCCAATTTAATTTAATTAGGCTTTTGCCATGTGATGTATTTACTAAATGTTTATGATTCTGAAATTCATTATTAAGAGGCTAACCTGATGATCTCAACATATAACATTGTTAGTTGTCACTTCAAAATGCTATTTTAACTCCAGTTAATGAAATTACATTTTAATAAGTTTAGCTAAGATAACACTTGGTGAATGGGAAATATTGCATATCTATCTAACTCTTCCAGTTATGTACAAGAGCAGACTTTTTCTCCCCTCACCTAAAACCCAAGAAATCAATCCCTTTTATTTCCTCCAAGCCTTTTTTTACTCTTGGGCCTTGGTTAGTTGCTGTTAGGTAAGTAACCAAGGTCCCTTCAAAGTGAAGTGACTGTCAGGCAGAAAACACCGTAGCATCTAAAAGGATGGTTGATGTAAGAAAATAATTTGTCATGATGTGTTGGTTGAAGGTTTTTGTAATAAATGAGTGGCTATGAAGGGTGACCCCAAACTGTAGATCCTTAAATATGACATTTTTTGAAAGGTAAAGCCAGTCAACTATAGTCAGTCTCTATTATTACAATGAATCTTCTGCTTAGCACCGCCAGCTCATTTGTATATATGTATATATTGTGCCTTTATACACACACACATATATATATATATATATATATATATATATATATATATATATATATATATGCTTATATGCTTGAATTATTTCTGTACACGGGGGCAGAAATTGAACATTTTGAGTACTACTGCAATAGCTTAAATTTTTTAAATAAAATGTTGTGCTACGAAATTGCTTGTAGACTGCTTTATTTATCGCTTAGATTTGTATTTGCAGAAATATAACAATTGTAGTTAACCAAACTTACTCTTGTTTCTTCTAAAAATATTCAGACCGAATACATTCAAGTTTATAAATATAGTTTAAGAGAATTTAGAAATTTAGAAAAATAACCTGGGGTATGGATACCTTTGCAGGTCAGTGTATGGTTAGTTTAATATTGAAGACTGAATAGATTCATGTATACAGTAAGCTACCAGCATTGCTAATTAACTCATTTGTACTTGAAATAAGCTATCTTGCCCTTAAATGCCATCTTGAAACCTAGACAGCATTTAACACAATTTTTTAATCTGGGAGTGAAACAAATTTCTGTTGCTTTTAACTCTCAACTAAAGCCTTTTTTTCCCATCTGTTCTAATAATGAAGATGTAACTAATGGGAAGCCTGATGTGGAAGACTGGCATTAGTTTTTCCAAATTCATTGTTCAAGGGAAATGTTTTTATTTTGTGTTTTAAATGCACCTTTTACCTTTATTTGACCCTTCAATGCTAATATGTGATAAAAGAATGCTAAATTACAATGGTAGGTTATTTCAGTATCCTTTAACCTTTCGGCTCAAACTCAAATACTCATGTCCATTGTCAGACAACTTCTTAATGTTTAATCAACAGACCTAAATCAAATGGTCAATCTACTTTGCTAGCATAGTGTCAAGTTCTGCAGAGCTCTGCTAATGATTTGTGTTGGACTCAGGTATACTTAAGCAGAGATGCAGCTAAAGATTGCAGGATTGCATCCTTGTAAGACCATTTGTTTTCTCCTATGAGATGCAGATTTTCTCTGAGCCCTGATTACTGTAACTCTTGAAGGGCATAGATAAAGGATCAATACACTTATGGGAAAATAAATTGGTTGGGAAGACAGTAAATATCTTAAAAGATTGTATTGCATTGTAACTGTATTTTTTATTATGATTTCAGGTGCATTGAGGACTATAAACGTGGTCCTGATGGGAGGTCATGCTTACCTCTATCTGAAGTCTGCACAGAGGGCGTAGACTGTGGGGAAGCAATAGACATCCCTGCCAACCAGACTGTCTTTGGAGACCTCTTCTACGGCTACAACAACCAGACCCAGGAAAGCACCACTGGTCAGATACTGAAGGCCACATTCAGGTAAACACACAAGCTGTTGGTGAAGCATAGTCTGTGGTAGACTGTCCTGCCATTTGTATCTCAGCAGGGAAAAAGTTGGGGAAGGGTTAGGTTTTAGGTTCCCACTGTGCTGACATCTTTGTGATGGATCGCTTTCAAATAACAGCCTCTCTGTGGTGGCTGGGTAAAATAGATTGCTGTGGCAGGTGTATACGAAAGATAAAATAAGGATAAAATAGATTTTGGTCTTCCATAAGAAACATATATTGGGCTATAAGCCTGTGGTTAACAAATAAAGCAAAGCAAAAAACATAGCAAGAGTTCTCAAAAAGAGACATACTGTAAAATAACACGTTAAAAATCTATGAAGCCCTATGTTGGTCATTAATCAGTGGTCATTGTGTTAAATAACAATGCAATGTAGATGTGTATTTGAGATTTCAAAATTCTTAAAGTTATCTGAGCTAATCTGCTTTTCAATTTTAATAGATTTAAAATCAGACCATGTTAATTATCCCGCTTCAGGGATACAAATTATTTTCTGATACCTGCACTTTTAATTTCTAAAAGTTTTTGCCAGTGTACTGAAATAAAACAAAACTCCAGCTGACCAGCCAGCTATACTGCTTGAACTTGTGCCCATGCCTTCAGCTGTATTTATTTTTCAAAGATAGATAATGACAATGTATGTCTTAGAGGAAACATTTTCTACATTTCTTCAGGCTTAGAAATATCTTTCTATATAAGCAATAAAGAAAAGTTACATATAGCCGGTCAATAAGGAGTTATTTGCTATATTATGCTGGGTATACACTGTGTGTTTAGCAGCTGCTGCAGATTAAGGAAAAGTGTTGCTGGAATAGGGTGGTGGAATTGGTTGTAGATTTAAATCTGCTCTCTTATGTCCCACTGTGAGGAATGTTATAGAGTCTTTTGAAATAAGTATTTTCTGAAATAATTATCTGACGGTGCCTGATATTTACGTTGATAATCTCACAGTGAAACAGCTGCTTTGACTTAGATCTACTGATAAAAATACTGCTGCTGCCTGAGATGGACCACATAAGGGTAGATAAATGAAAGGCGATGTATTTTTAGGAATTTTTTTAATATGCTCCTAAGAAAAAAAAAGGTTGCCAGAACATTATGTATTAATTTGGATATAGTAACAGTAACCCTGGAAACTGGTAATAAATGAGTAACAAAATGAGTGGCCAGGAAAAAAAATATAAATTTCAGTTGGAATCTTTCTCCATGCGCCTGCAGGGGACTCTGATGCACTGAATAATTAAAGACATTTTTGCTCCAATTAAAAAATACATATATATATATATATTAGGAGTGGGTATTGGCAAAGAAGTCATGATTCGATTCGAATCACGATTCACGTGCCACGATGCGATTCTATCACAATGCATCATGAAACTTGAAATATTGCGATGCATTGCGATATTTTCACTGAACACTGTAAAAAAAAGATACAGCCCTTACCAGTGGCTGACTGGCTGTGTGTGATCTGGATAGTGTCTTCAATTGATACATAACTGAAAGCAACTGAATTCATACATCGCTGTATTTATTGAAACGACTTTTGGAGGTGTTGCCATGAAAACAAATACTGGACAGAAATATTACTATTACTGGTGTGGACACACTGACAAAAAGTTCTTAGGATTCATCAAACTTAAAATAAAAAAATAAGGATAATCAGTGCCATTTACATGGCCTCAGTGGTCCTTTAAACCAATGAAATGAAAACATTAAAATGTATGACATTTCCCCTTTTGCAAATTACGTGTATCATATCAATTTAGTTTTTACCTTCTTTGTTTTTAAAGCCAGAATGCATCTAAGCATCTTACTTGAAATGTGATGGAGCCAGGGGGCAAATTTTCTCAGTGTCCTCCATATTTTGTTTCCGAATGACTCGTCTCAGTATCCCGCGGCCGGACATGCATGTGACACACGAGCAGCAGGCGTCAACACATCCGCAGCGACATCTGCTGGACTGGAAATTGTATTCCACTTGGTTTGGCTAATGTGCGGCAACCATTCATGTATTTTATTTGTTCATTTTTTTTTTTTTTTATAATCGATTCTTGCCTTCAAGAATCGATGCAGTAGATCACAAAAATTAGAATCGCGATGCACACCCTTAATATATATATATATATATATATATATATATATATATATATATATATATATATATATATATATATATATATTATAGCTATATGAATATAGCTATATGAATGAATCGGCATGTACTTGGATTAAAGATAATCACCCTAAAGAAGTCAGATTTATTATTGGACTATGTTTTATGTTTATTTGATTGTAGTTATGCTTTGGGAGAATTTGGGATTAAAGAACTGGCTAATTTTCTCTTTAATTGGGCAGGTAATCCAGCAGGCTGACAGAGCTTAGATATTACCTAACCCTAAATTCTCTTCCTAAACTAGCATATTACTAGCTCCAGCCTCAACTAAATCCAAATTCTCTCTTTTTTTTTTATTTTGATGTCTAGCGGGACAGATTTATGTCATACCCTGATCTGACGCACCCTGATAAAGTGGCCTGTTGTCATAAGTTGTAAGTGATTTTTTTAGCAAATGGTGATCATAAAATATGAACTTGATCTCATATCAAAGACAGTTACTTCCATGTAGCATATTGTGGCACCGAATACTCCTATAAGATTGCAAAAATTGTACAATGTAGGAAGGCTATTAGTCTGTCATTGTCTACAGTATACTGGGGCATTTCCAAACCCGTTTTAACAACTTTTATTACCGTAGTGATAAATGTAGTTTTCTCTGTAATTTCAAAGTTAAACTCATTTGGGTCAAAGTCTTGGAACCGACTACTAGTAGCCTGTTTCTACATTCTGCATGCTCATCAGGTTCAAACAAGAAACAATATGGCAAACATCCAGCTGTGTTTCATTTAGATCTATCTCTGGACTTTGTTGACATTAGCTTAACAATGTGATACTGATATTCAATTTCTCTCTAGTGAAAATCTCACCAGATGAGGAAAACAGCACAACTCAAATACTTAAAAGGAAAGTATTATGCAAAATCCACTTTTTTAGCTTCAAAAGATTTTTGCAGTACTGTTAATGTCCAGGAATGTTCAGTTCCATTTCTACAGGTCTTATTTTAACACTTTAATTGCTGTTTGGGTCATTTTATTTTAGTTTGTTCAGTTTTCTCTTTAAGTAATTTTTTTTCTCTATTACATAATACTTCAGGCTGTGGAATTGCTAAATAAGGTCATGAAATTTCTGTTTGAAAACCAAAGAATCAGCCATTTTTTTTTTTTTTCTGGTGGTATTTCTGTTGACAACTTAATGCCTTTGTCACTATATCTAGCGAGTTTTGAGACCCGTCTAGAAGCTGTTTTTTTTAAAAAGCAACTAGCAAAAAATCTAGCAACTTTTTCTGTGCTGTTAAAGTGTTTGGTAACTGCATAAGCATCAGTCGCTCTACATTTACGGTCTTCAGTAAGCAGAGGTGGTTGCTGCAAGCTCCTCCTTAGCACTAACAGGCAGTCAGAGTCAGCAGCAAGCCATGCCAGAGGAAGAGCAAATCCCCTCTGTTTTCCCATTGAAAATTAGTAAACCAATGCACCAGGCCTCTACTGATCTGCTTTAAAGCAAGATGCAAATATGATATTTACACATATACACAGCCTCAGCCACTTCCTGTCCCTCTGCTAACTATCTTTAAATTAAATTTGATAACATAAGATTATTTATGTAATTTTGGTTCAGGTAAAAATATAATAAGTATTTTATAGAGTATATATTTAGTTCAAATCTTGTTTAGAGTGTTTTTAATTACTTTCCAGCTTGCTGGTGTTGATATTCCTCTCTCATACGAATGGATCAAAGCATTACCAAATATGCAAATAAGCTTATTACATCACTTAGCAACCTCTAGTTACCTTTAGGAAAGCCAAAAGCGACTTTCTTTGGTGAAAAGTTGGTAATTTGGCTGGCAAAGTTTAAGGACTCCAAATCAACAAAGCAATGAATCTAAATAGATGGTTCCTTGGTGTATTAACTCACACAAGTCATTACACCATCTACCAGAATCAGAACCTCTTCTAAGGGTCTGATTGAATTTATTCTTTTCATTCAAGGTGAAGGTGCTGTTTGTTTTTGCAAAGCCGCGGCCAGAATGAGCAACTACAGAAAAGACAGGTACAGCAAAGCTAAAAGGCTTATGTTTCCACTGTACGCTAGATTTGACTCCTTGAGGACATAATCTCATTGTGGGTTTTTAATAACATTACACAAAAAAATCTCTTTGGTTGCCATTTTTGTCTCAGTGAACACATTACAATATATGAATATATTTTGTTATGCTATTGGTGCAATATGCATATAAAATATATTAAAAAAATAAAAATAAAAAAACTTTTTTTTTTTATCATACTTACTGCCATTTCAGACCTATGATGATTTTTTTTGTTGTTGAGACGTCAAGCCCAGGATGCTGTATTTAAAGCTCCATGAGTAAAGTAGGAACAAGTTAGCAGACTGCAAATGAGGAAAAATGTTAAAAAACGTCCAATTCTAAGAAAAATGATTAACATTTTTTTGCAAATGTTGAAGTTTTGAAGCAGCCATTCCATGCTCTAAATAAAAGTTTTAGACATAATTTTTGTGTTCGGCCTATTTTTTTAATTCAGCCCGCTGGATATTGGTGAGAGAAAGCCCACAGCTCATTTATATACCGGCTTTGTTTGACATGGCACTGGCATGTCAGTCAACCGACTGCTCACTTAAAGTAAGAGCAAGGCTACTTATGCTACTTGACCCTTCTAGTAGAATAGTAGAATCAACAAAAACAGCAGCAGATTAATATCATTGGTGTTTGCACAAATATTATGTTTCTCGGTATGAGTTTATTTGTTTAAGACCAAGAGAAAACAAGAACTCTGCTTTTTTATTATAAGGTAATATGGAAAGATGGAGAGAAGATTGTGTTTTTTTTTTTTTTCATTTCCCC